AACTATATAGTTACTTGTATGTTCCTTTATCAGATCATTAGCAGAGTTTGATGAAAATGAAAAAACTATATAATTTTACTGTGATTTGGAAATACATTTAAATTATGTAGTGTGTATATATATCTTTTAATTATATAATTGAGCAGGGTTGCCAAAAGAATGGAATATTTCGATTATGAAACTAGAGCCAAAAAAGAGTTTTACAAAGAATCAAACTGTTGTATGTACCATAATCGTGGTCTGTGTCAGAGTGAATGTATTTTTGATACAGGCGACTGATTATAAAAAAATTCATAGTAAAAAAAATAGCTATCATAATTTCAACAATCGTGTGAAATTTTAAAGAGCTATAGGAAACTTTAGGTACCTGTGGTGGTTTAAATAGTCGAAACATTTTAAATAGCTATGATTTTTTTCAATAGTTGTACCCCTTTTAAATAGCTGTATGTTTAATTAAAAAGTATCTCCTTCTGAGAAACTATGAATTTTTCATCAGCTCATCCAAATGCGTTAAAAATTTGGATTTAGAAGTTTTAGATGATGCTGAACAAGATGAGAACATCAAATAAAAAAGCCAAAATTTTGTCCAGTTCTTCGATTTCTGGCATGGTTCTTGATGGTCTCATGGAAACTCTCTTAATGGAGCTTCCGAGAAAACTTTCAGTACACATCATATACTGAAAGGAGGGTCATATGAAATAAAATGAGTTTGCTTTCTTGATTGCTTGTATGCATGTGCCAGGTCACGTGTTCAAATGTATTTCGAAAGTTATAAAGTTTGACCGAAGGTAATCGAGGTAGAAGAATCCGAATCTGAAGTCAGTTTTTCGAAATTTTGACTTTTAATTTTTTTGGGGCCAAGAAATGTTTTTTACGATAAACATGACTGTTTAAATAGCATAAAGTCATGACAGTCATTGAATATTTTTACGAGACAACACATCTACAGCAGTTTATAATGCTTCATCAAAATCGATTCAAAAAAGGCAGTTGCTGTTGCTGTTAGAGTCGCGTTTTTATTCCGTGTACTGACAAAATGATATTCTGACTAAGCTACATACGAAGTAGTCGAGTAACAAAATCGACCACTCACTTGCTATCGAAACGAACATCTGTCATGTTCTACTAGTACATGATAAAAACATTGCTTCATGAAATATAATGTTTGAATATAATTATGACAATATACAATTTTTTTTGCGTCTCGTATCTCATCAAAAATAATCGAAAACAAATTAAAAAGAACGGGATCGTTTCATGTTTGTTTGAAACTGAATCAAATCGAATCGAAATTTATATACGAATCAACAGATCCCCACCACAGAAAACTCAATTTTCGGTAAAAAAATGTTCTGCGAAACAAACATATGAACATGTTACCTGAAATGCTTAGTATACGAAATCATAAAAACAGTTTAGATTGTTCAACTTTTTGGAGAATGGAGAGCAAAATAGAGTTATGAATGATCTTTGAAACTATCTCAATATACTAATGTTTAGAGCAATCAGTCAATTTTTTTCTAGAGTTAGATTTTAAAAATAAACGAATATTTTTCAGACAAAAAAAAGTCAACACACCTTAGAGACATGTTTCAGATCTCCGATAATTTTATCTTATGAGTGCAGATCTTCTCTTTACTCACAGTCTATAGAGTATATTAAAGTTCTGAGATTTGATTAAAGTGAATGTTTTATGTAGAATAAAATACCATATTTATTCTCAATCACTAGTAAAAATTAACTATCATTATCAGTCTTTAAAACATCTAAAAGATAATAAATGATTTAAACAAATTAATTTGTTATTCTTCCCATATTGTTAAGTTGTTCAATAGTATAACAGATATCAGGACATCGGTAAGTAGTCTTATCTGTCGTGATGTATCTCCTACGAAGATAATCGAATATACCACGATAAGTGCTTCGACTGGCATGTAATATATTTATGTTCGATCCCCAATTTAAATAATAAGAGAAAGAATATATAAAGGAAAAGCTTCTTTTCCGTTTTTCTCAACATTGATTTTTTTCGATAATGGTTGAACTGCTGACAAATTTTTTTTGTCAATAAAATTTATTATCAATTCTTGATAAACTCACAGTTTTCCAGATAACTATGCCTAGAATTTTCCGAATTTTTAAGTTTCAATGATTCCAAAGATAAAACAAAATAAAGATTAAGAACATCCTTTTCCTCAACGAAGTAGTACGAATTTTCTTTGAAATGAATGTAACCCGAGCTCTATTGCTTGAAATGTATTGATATTAAATTTGCCATCATAAAACTTCTGCTTTACAGCCTAGTCTCTGGAAACTTCCTAAATGATAACACCTATGGAGAAGTGAAACTCTTATTAGTAATGTATTGCGATGAGTGAAACATCTATACAACGTTTAATCCATATCTTATGCACTCCGTCGAAGTTAGGCTTTTCAAGTGATCATCAGTATTAGATTTAGATGGGATCCGTTTATTTTTCTTTGGAACCGAACTGATTCTAGGGGAGGGAAGTTACCGTTACTACCTAGTTACGTTACCAGGTAACTAGTAACTCCAAAGTTACTAGTTACCGAGTAACTAGTAACGCCAAAGTTACTAGTTACTTGGTAACTAGTAACTTTGGCGTTACTAGTTACCAAGTAACGGTAACGCTTTATAGACCCTTACCTGGTGACGTAATATTCGAACATCTTAAGGTATTCGAATATTACGTCGCCAGATAAGGGTCCATAAAACGTTACCGTTACTTGGTAACTAGTAACGCCAAAGTTACTAGTTACTCGGTAACTGGTAACTTCGGCGTTACTAGTTACTTGGTAACTAGTAACTTCGGCGTTACTAGTTACTTGGTAACTAGTAACTTTGGAGTTACTAGTTACTTGGCAACGTAACGGTAACTTCCCTCCCCTAACTGATTCTATCTATGGTATTCTCTAGCGCAGGGTTGTTGATTGTTTTAAAAAGTGGAAGGGACTAAAAATTTGACAGAAACTTTGAAAATTTAGACAGAAAGTGTTTTTTCCCTTTTTCTGCAGTCACTGAACAAACACTGCCTGCTAAATTCATCAATTTTTCACGAGATTTTGTTTACAGAAAGTGTTTTTATCCGACTTTTTGCCAGAAAAATGGTGAACAGTACTCAAAAACAGGGTTTCTGCTGGAATTTACCATGAAATTTTTTAAAATTTGGCAGAAAGTATCAGAAATTTTCGCGGAAAGTCGGATATGTTTTCAATTCTTGGTGGAGGAACGACTCATTCCCCCTCCAATCGACAATCCTGCTCAAGCGCTTTTATCCTTCTTGCTTTCTTCTCTCTGTTCTTGTTTTCTACTTTCTTCCTTTCGCCTCTTTCTGTCTTTTTTGTTTCTCATATACTTCTTGGGCTTTGACTTGTCTTTTAATCTTCGCCTTATCTCGAAGCTTACTGTTGAGCTCGCTCAACTAATTAACTTACTTGTTGTCTCAAAAAGACTTATGACAACTCAATCAGAAGCCAAATATTCGCTCAAAACCAACAAACAGCGCATCGAATAAAATTTCTATGTTTTTTTCTTATGAATGATGCAAACCTTTTTTGTAGCTTCTCAAAAGAGAGACTTTTCAATTAAAGATTCTTCTATTTAAGAAAATTGTCTTAGCCACTTCAGTGTTCATAGCTAGTCAAAAAATATGTCTAGAGTTAATTAATTATTTGAATAGCTTATTCACTTCATACAAAATTTCGTAATCTATTTTATTTTCTGTTGTGTGGTTGACATTTAAAAGCCTTATTTTTCGTTTTTCTTGAGTAGATATCAAGTCTTTTAAATAGCTATGATAATTTTGTAAGAACGTTTGGTTTGAATAACTTATAATATGATGAAGATTAAAAAATCAACTATTTAAATCATTGATATTTGCATTCAAATTCATAATTGTATGCTTGAAATCAATTATTAACTTTAAATAAATAGTTGACGAGTATTAAAATAGAAGAATGTGTATTTTAAAAGTATCTCTTTTTAGAATGAACCTTTATTTTATCTGTTTCGAAAATCAAGTAGTGCTATAAGGAGTTTATGAAAAAACTTGATCAAAATTACAAATCATACCAAAACGACATAAAATGACTTCCAGATATTTTCATTTTTTCGAAAGAACAAGCTGATTTATTTTCATCATAAACTGGAAGCTTTAATGTGTTTTGTGTTGTACAGCAAGAACAACGTTTTCTTTTCCTCGTTATTCCTCTTTCTAAGAAGGAGGGAATAGGAGCAGTTAGAATTTTCTCAGCAAGAATTACATTGTCTTGTCTTTTTTAAATAGTATTACTATTAAGTGAGGAGTAGATTCACAATCGTGTTACTCAGTAGATTCATTTTTTTTTCATCATGATTAAGGTAAAATATAGAAATATATATTATATAGTTTCAGAAAAAATGTATTACAAAGTCTTCTCGATAGAATGATCTTCTTCTTGTTCATTACGGAGTGTATGTCATTTTTATAAACCAACAGAAGATCACATCATACTTTCTTCAACTCAATATGAATAACCAGACGAATAATATTTCGTTAGTATCGGAAGGCATATCTACTAGTATCAGTCTAAAACAGCGAATTGCTACAATATCATTATTAATCACATTGATTATACCATCCTTTATCTGCTTTCTCATTATCTTTTATTATTTTATTCGATTACGCAAAAAATTGATTTTTGATCGCATCAATCATCATGTTATTTTATGCATATTAATCAGTGATTTCTTGTTAATTGTAACTGAATTACCATTTTCATTGTACTATCTTTCATTAGGCTATGTGCAGACAACAAAAGTATGTTTATTTTGGATTTTTTGGAGTTATTCTCTTGAAGCGGCATCTTTGTTTCTAACAACGTATGCATCAATTGAACGTTATTTTTTAGTATTTCATAAACAGTGTACTATAAAACATCAATTATTATTTCATTATATCCCACTGGGATTTGCTGGCTTTTATGCTTTCGGTATTTACATGTATCTTGTTCTATTATTTCCATGCGACCCAAGTTATCAGTACGACTTAACTGTATTTGTGTGCGGAGGACCATGTTATTTAAATGCTTTTGTTCAAAATTTCTATGATACAATTGTTGATACAATGTTACCACCTTGTGTTCTATTGATTTTTAATCTATTGATGATTGGTCATGCTATTAGACTGAAACGAAAAGTTGCACCATCAACATTGGTATTGAATACATTGAAAAAAAATCGTCGAATGATTTTACAATTATTAGCCATAAGTTTAATGGCTTTAATAAATTGGATGCCTTGGGTTGTTATAATCTTAATACAAGATTTTTATGATCCATCATTTGGTGAACAGTTCATTAACAATGTTGTTTATTATCTGCCATATTTTACAAGTTTTGCATCACCATTTTTAGCGTTGATTGGTCTGCCGGAGATCCGTGAAGAGTTAAAGAAAATAATCGGACAATCCACGACTGCTCGACACATAGTTGCTTCAACCAGAACATGAACAACGACTAACATGAACAGCTGCAATAACCGATTAGTAACTGGTTGTATGTCACCATTATAAATCAATTGTCATCATGAGACAAATATTCACAAAATAAAAATAGATGTTTCTGCCTTTGTATTTCATGCCTGTTTTTGACATTTAGTTGTATTTCTTCCTTTACTAAATATATACCAGAAGGAAAATTAAACTTTAGGTAAAACTAAACTTATACAGGATTTGTTCTAATTAGGCGTGACGGAGCGCAACTTTTTAAAAAATAAGTTCTAATTCTCGCTATCAATAGAAAAAAATGAGATCAATTGTTTAAATAAACCTCGAATAAAACAGAAGAATATCCATTGTCATTTATTTAATCGCATAATGAGTACAGTAAGGACTTTTATTTTGGGGTGCGGGTGTGCGAATGTGGGTTTGGGCAAAGATGAAATAGAGACCCGCGTCCACGCCCTAAAAAAAACCTGAATTTATTGGTATAAACAACTTGCAAGGGAGAAAATGCAGATTTAGAATTCCGGCACATCAACACTAGCTCAGCATCTTTTAGTACTGAAACTTGATATCAGGGTGGGGTGTGGGTGTGGGTAGAATTCTCATACCTACACCCACACCCACACCCATATAACAGAGACCACGTTTTTTTATCGTAGTAGAACGCTTATTCTACATCACTCTCAACCTGAAGAGGGGCAATAAAGATTAAAAGCAATCAAAAGCGAATAAGTATAGCTTTGTATTTAATCAAAAACAAATATTCCATGTACTTAAGCAATTCAATCTCAATGCAAATATGATGCATATCTCCGCCCGATGAATGACAAACCGAGTCGTTGTCATTTTCTCTACCAGATAAACGTAGTTTGACGATGTTTTCAGACGAGAGATCCACGATCGTAAATGGTCGTGTGCATCAAATTACAATAGAAAAGGATGACTGTATATAGTCACCGTGTACAGTCACTTACGATGTTTTACGAATGTCGTGTACGTTAACAATGATGAGCTGTCGTTTACGCTTACCGTGAATATGCTGATGTTGTACATGACTTCTGTAAAATACCGTAAATGTCCGTAACGGTAACTGTATACGATTATCATAAATGGTCGTCATTTTTTATTGTAACTCGACACCCACGGTTGTTTGTGGTTGCAGATTAGCTGATAGATTCAAGAAGATTTTAAATCGTTAGAATCAGTCAATCGGCTTTTGTTCTGAATTGTGGTTTCCACGCTGACGAATATGGATGTACGTATAGCCCTAATCGATATGAAAGAACTACACATAAGCGGTGGCATCGTTGTAACAAAAAGTATACGATTGTGAATATGCATGCACGTAAGTTTGGAACTATCTTATTTTATGAGGTTAACGGTAGACGGTGAGTAGCTGTGACCGTCAGTTACGGCCAGATACCTATCGTGACCCTCAGTGGTTGTGTGTGTATAAATTTATAGTTATTAGGTTTTCCAGAAAATCCGTGCATCTCACATATAGTAGTGGCAAAAAGTTTGAAAATAGCATATTTTCAATTTTCATTTTGGTACTATTAAGCTTCCATCTCAAATTTAAATAGTGCTTTGGGTAGCCTATGAAATGCTCTATTAAATGCTGTCCATGGCATGATTTCATGAATGAACTCTGAGGACTGGGCTTCTAAAAAATCGCACACAGTCGTTTTCAGGTTTCAGAAAACTTTTTGGAGCTATTATCTAATAAAGCTATCTTAAGGGGCACAAAATTCTGAACAAAAGAGAAATCGTCATTTCTATGATCTTCCCTTACAACATCATAACGATCACGAAAATGGAGGAAACGCGTTGTTTGTCGATTTCTAGCGGTTTTCTTATCAGTTTCGATTTTGTTTTATTTTTGTGATAGTGGTAACTTGTAACTGAAGGTCATGGAAGAAATGGTGATTTCTCTTTTGTTCAGAATTTTGTGCCCTTTAAGATAGCTTTGTTAGAAAATGGCTCCAAAAAGTTTTCTGAAACCTAAAAACTACTGTGTGCGATTGTTTAGAAGCCCAGTCCTCAGAGCTCTTTCATGAAACCTTGCCATGGACAGCATTTAACAGAGCATTTCATAGGCTACCCAAAGCACTATTTGAACTTGAGATGGGAGCTTAATAGTACCGAAATAAAAATCGAAAATATGCTATTCTCAAACTTTTTGCCACTATTATATATGAGATGCGCGGACTTTTCGGGCAACCTAATATATAGCAACATAAGTATAGATGTGAGCGCTCATAAACAATTGCATATACATGTGGCTGCGCCTTGTCATAAGAAAAGTATACGACTATGCACCTGGACGAAGGTGTGGGCCTAGTCGAAAGTAAGAATATACGACGTTCGATATGCGCAAGCATAAGTTTAGGACCAAATATACTCTATAAAAAAAAGTTGGTAGGCATAATCTTCTCGATGGGCACCATTTTATGAGCCTTTTCAAAGGTTCTAGACTTTCCAGCTAGAACCATTTTATCCTGAAATTTTCAGAAAAAAAGATTCATAAAATGGTACCCATTGACGGGTTCCTTATGAAACCTTGCCTTTAGAGAGTAGGCTTGAAGATAGACTAGTGGTAGCTGTCAACGTCAGCTATGGCCGCATCAGCAATTTTCCCATCACTGAAGACATTAATATGAAACTACACATGAATGTGAGTATAGACATGGGTGAATACGAGAGCGTAGATATAAGCACACGTATGTGACTGCGTCTAGACATGTGCGTACTCGAAATAGTAAGTATAGGAGGAGTTTGTGTACCTGTGTGAGTGTGCGTAAATGGGTATGGGTATGGGTGAGTGTGAGGTGTGGCTATGGCTCTTCTCATGATCCACATCCTTCTCAGAGCAAAAGTCATTCACAACATTTCTCAATAACTCGTGTGTATTGAAAATGCGAAAGCCTGTTATACCATTGTATTGAGATTATCTGAGATACAACAAGATTGTACGATGAAACCTTGACATTGTATCCACTAGATTTCGACAATGCGAATATTTGTTGTGTTTCGACTATTCTTACCGCTCGTGATGTTGATCAAGAAATCCGATGGAATTTCGAGTCATATTCAACCTTTCGCTGAATATGATCATTCAATAGAACTTCAGACAAATGTAGCAGATCTTTGGTGGACAGTAGATGATATAGAACGAGCGATTCTGTTTGAGTTGCATGTCAAGACCACAGGTTGGATTGCTTTGGGCATTAGTCCAGGTAAGTTCATAAAAATTGTGTCTATGATCAATATCATTTTTGCTAATGTATGAGCTGGTGGAATGAAGGGTGCTGATATCGGCGTTGGATGGATCGATCAGTCGGGCAATGTTCATTTTCAAGTAAGAAGTGACTATGATTCATTTTCATAATTAGACAACTGTTTTTTCCTTACTCGAGGACCGATATGCATCCGATTTTTCACGACCAATGATCGACAATACAACAATCGATTGGTTTGCTATTCAAGGTCGTGAACAAAACTGATGGACAGCTATTCAATTCAAACGCTTCATTGACACTTGTGATAGTATGGATGTTCCGATCAGGGTACATTCATCAAGAGTATGTTGTGTATGGTACGAAAAAATTGGTTGTTTTCTAGTCTGGAACAAATATTGTTATTTTTGCCTTTGGTCTTGTTGATCCCGATATCTGTCGATTTGATGGTGACATTTCCTATCATGATAATCGACGTGGTTCACAGATGATTCCACTTCGATTCTATGCAAATCCACCTATCGACGAGAAATTTGCCGGACTTGACTCTTTCGAATTTCGTATGAACAATGTCAGTTACTCGTTTGTCATAATTTATATCAAACAGATCGATTTTTATTCTATTGAAGTATCGAGTTCCATCGAATGAAACGACCTATTATTGTAAAGTTTTCAAAATACCAATCGATTATCCAACTAAAAAGCATGCAATTGCAGTATGATCAATTTCTGATTTTTCTCTTTTCTCTTTTCAATTCTTCTTTTATGCAGTACAAAGTGCTGATCAATCCTGATAATCGTGATCTTGTGCATCATTTTACTCTCAGCGAATGTGATCCTTCGACTACATTCAATGATGCTAATCTGCCTGAAGGAGTGTGTGATGACGTAGTTCAATCAGTCAAAATGTGCACGATGGACACTGTTGTTGGATGGGCGACTGGTGGTCAAGATGTAAGTCTCTTTCTTTAGCTCAAGAAAATGACAAAAGAAAGCAATTTGAACAGATAGTGGAATATCCAGAAGAAGCTGGCTATGCGATTGGTGGCGAATTGGCCATAAAATATTACATGATTGAAATGCACTATGATAATCCAAATTTAGCTTCAAGTAAAAAATGTTATAATGAGAAGAAATACTATTATCTTGTTTTTGTTAGATCGTATTGACAGTTCAGGAATTCAATTTTATATTGGCAAACAACTCCGTCCATATGATCTTGGCCGTATTATATTCGGCACATTATCGACTCCATTCGATCTTGCCATTCCTCCGCAAGTCAATCGATTTATTGTCGATTGCTATTGTCCTCCGAGTGTCACTCAGGTATCTATAGAGCAGAATGATAATATCCTATTACATACCTTTTCCTTTCTAGAATTTTCCCGAATCTGGTATTACAGTTGTATTGGCTTTTCCACATACTCATCTACAAGGTCTATGAATCATTTTAATATGATTCCATGTACTTTTGTTTCATTGTGCAGGCCAAAGTCTATGGACAAAAGTGGTTCGAAATCATACAGCTATTCAATATTTGTTCAATGCTGAAGCATATGATTTTAATTATCAATTTATAAATCATCTACCAAAACTGATCCGACTCTACCGAGTACGAATGAAATTTCTTGCATTGTGTGACTAGAAATTATATTGTAGAATGATGCGTTTGTGACTCAATGTGTGTACAATACAATGAACAAGAATGAGATTACACTGGTAAGAAATGACACAGGCGAGGAAGCAAGTGTGTTCTATTTCGATGCTTTTTTGTCAGGGTGGTCTACGAACAAAAGACGAAATGTGCCGTATGACGTTTACCTATTATCCTCGAATAAACAATTTGAGTTTATGCATGTCTATAAATGATTTTTCTTGATGGGAAAAGATTATGAATGTTTCTTTGTAAACTATCCGATTGTATGTTAATTGTCAAATAACAGAAGATAGTTTCTTGTAGGCCGATTTTCAATCCGTATCCAGTTCAACAATGGCTACACAGTCTCAAATGGACGTCTGAGTTAACTATCCAGTGGCAACAGCTTTACCACAATGCTTCTCGCCGCGTTTTCATTCTTGGATCACACCGAAATGACACCGAATTTTTCTCCACAATACCCGAATACGAAGATTTGGAACCTTTAGAATGCAAAACAGAAACGAATTCGGACCATGAAATTGTTACTGTTGGTTGCAAGGCGGTCGGCTGTCACAAATCATTCTGTACTCGTATACTAATTCTTCTTATGATAAACAATATGCTTTTATAACCAAAATGAACACATTCATGTTTGATTTAAAGAGTAGTGTCAAACTCGAAATCTGAATTCAGATATTCAGATACTCTTTCCGCTAGTCGTGGCACCCGAATTCTGGGCATTGCCCGCTGGTATACTTATCGAAGGATGGGAGTGTGAGGATGTGGGTTGGTTTTTCTTTTATCTTCATCCACACCCTTCTCACACTTACATCCCATCCACACGAACACCCAACCCATACCCATACCAAAGCATTGCAAAATGTGCATCTCACCAGTCCTGTACGATTTGCTTTTCTGATGCAACAAAAAGGATCACTATCTCTGTCTTTCTGTTTCTTTCTCATTCAAAAAAAAATAGAATGAACTAATGAATGATGACAACGTCAATGGATGCTCTTGTTATTGGCCACTTGATTCATTTAACTATCTGACCCATAGTTATTGCATTTTCTCATTCGAATCGAATCAAATTAATTCCGAGAAATGAACAGTAGGAATCGACTAATTCATCTTTTCGTTTTTTCATTGATTAACAATATCGAAAATCTCTAATTGAAGTATTGAGCCGACATTAAAAAATGATCAATTCTTCTTGGTCGTTTATCAACGTTTCAGTTATCAAAATAATGTAAGCGATAAAATTGAGTCTTTATCTCTTTTGTTGTTGCTATGTTGACAAATGGAATGTTTCAGTCAAATTTATTGCAAATAGATTCGTGCTAATGAACTATTCGTCGTGATTTTGTAAAGGAAATTGTGTTTTGAATGATTAAGTATATAATTGCTATAAAATACATGAGGGTGTGGGTGTGAATCAAGCGAGAAAGTCCTTGGCCATACCCATATCCCCATCCTTTCAGACACAATAACAGAACAAGTATGGAGAATAGCACAAACACAACTTATCTCACCATGGAATACATATGGTATGGGTGAACTAACAAAAGTTACTTCCGAGAGAGTACAACATCATTTTATTGTCCATGAGTTACAAAATTCTGATAGGTAAAATCAACGAATAGGGATAGAAAAGGTCAGATATAAATAAAGTAGTATTACAAAAAAATTTATTATAGTTCCAGAAATTACACGATGGTGTATAGTCAATGCGAAGTAATTCATTATCCTCAACAACAAAACTCTGATGCAGGACAAGCATTAGATCCGAAGGGTGTGGGTGTTGATGTGGGCGTGGGTGGTGGTGGCGGTGTGACTGTGGCTGTGGGTCTGTAACAACACTCACATCCACACCCACATCCATTTGTATTGAATATTAATATGAAGCTCAAAATTAAATATCAAGTTTAACATTTTCCCATCTATTATTTTATTCAGTTAAAATTATGTGAAGAAGTGATAGGCTTAAGACGAATACCATTTAATTTCACTTTTTTCATCAAAAAAAGTTATTCTAAGAAAAAAACGGGATTTTATAGGATTTGAAGAAATACAAGTATAGTCGAACAGCTGCAGTCTGTAATAAGTTTCATGACATTTATATCTTTGATTACTCAGCAGGCGAACAGTGTTTCAGAGAAACAATGCGCTTTATCAAAGAGAAATGAAGACCACAAATCAAGGGGGAAACAGCTGATTCCATGATTCCGAGTGATTCCATTGATTCCGAGTGATTCCGAGTGATTCCAAGTGATTTCGGTGACTCCAAAATCGCTTCGAACAAGGGGTGAGAAGCTACCGTTATCGAAGAAAATAACAATATTTTTTTGTTATTGTTATTCTGAATCCTGAAAAGATGAGTCTGATCAAAGGACATTGATGTCTGTTTGTCTTATGCTTTATTGGTCAGAAAAACCGATCCATCAAAACATAGCTCTCTGAAATCTTCTGCTGGCAGGCCTAGCACCAAGGTCAAGGTAAAATTTTCGAAGTTGAGGAATCCGAATCTGAGGTCTATTTGCCTCGAAATCCTATTGGTCAGTCGGGAACCAATAGAAATCTAGTTTTTAGGAAAGATGTTCTCCAGGAGTTATTTGGGATGGAGAATCCAAATTTGAGGTCCATTTGCCTCGAACTTCTATTGGTCAGTCGAGAGCCAATAGAAATCGAATTTTCAAGAAAATCATCGCTTGAGGGTCCCTTTGACAAAAATCCATGTTGATCTATTTTATCGATTTCGTAGTTTAGACCTTGTAAGATAGAGCACATTCTCCACTAGCGAATATAGTGCATTCAATGAACTTTCTAATGTTATGTAGCGATAGTATATGGGTACTTCTGAACTCCGTTACTAAAGAAACACACACATCTCGCACCTTTTGGTTTTGAATCTCACCAGCTTCTGTAGAGGTTCTTTTTTCAAAATGAATCTTGTCATCATTGTATCGAATATAAGGTATTTACGTATTTGGTTTTATTTGGCCCTCTATCCTTGAAAACCCCTGAAGGGGTATAGTGTTGATCTCAAATGACTCGGAAGAAGAGCAAAGGACATGAAAAAATGAGAAAACATAGCCTCAGCGCAGGAGTGACGGACTACAAAGCCTATTTTGTCGCGGAATCTATGAGCCGTTGACCAGCAAGTAGTTTTCAGCATCTAGAACAGAGCTGGCTCATTCAATGAAATGGGACTGCGAGAGGAAAAGCTCGATCTTGATGTCAACAGATGACAATCGAAGAAATCAAATATTTTGCCATTACTCTTCTCACAAGCATACGGCATCTAACATCTTTCTGGATGCATTGTTTTGGTTGATCATGATCAATAGTCTAGTATCAATAGCTGGGATAGTGATTCTAAATCGTTTGAGGAGGGGAACGGCTCGATTTCATTTTCAAAACTTATTTTGAATCTTTTCAAAATACGTTATTTTTTGTAGTCGTTTCCTTTTGTCCCAAATTTCTCGTCAACGTTTAACGCTGAAGTGCGAGGTCTGGTACCAAAATGAATGGGAAAGTCAGTTCTACAACATAAAAGAGCCGGATTTTCCCTCTTTCTCTTTGATTTTTGTCAAACATCAACTACTCTGGACTCATACGCCCTGATGCCTTCGTAGTTTATCAGAAGCTTTTGAGAAATATAAATAACCCAAAACTTGAAAAATTGTGGCTCTATCAAGTTTTATTGCCACCTCTGCACTATATTTTGAAATCAACACGAATGTTTCGACCTTTACGATTGTGAAGACGTTGGAATCCATGCGGACATATATTTTGAGGATCAATGCGAACGCAACCCTTGATAGAGTCAAGATTTCCAGCTGAAACAACAATAGAGAAAATCTTCATTCTTCATGATTTTTGGGTAGCAATCAAATTGCCAGCTACATGTGATGCTGATTTGAACTACCCGCTTCATATTACGGTCAAGAGATGGTTTTTCTGAAAACTCGATTTCTATTGGTCCACGACCGACCAATAGGATGTCGAGGCGAATGGACCTCAGATTCGGATTCTTCACTCCAAATAACCCTTGGAGAACACCTTTCCTAAAAACTGGATTTCTATTGATTTCCGACGGACCCATAGGATTTCGAGGCAAATGGATCTCAGATGCAGATTCTCCATCCCAAATAACCCTGAAGCACATTTCCGAAAACTGGATTCCTATTGATCTCATGATGACTCTGAGTGATTCCGATTGATTCCATTGATTCCGACTGATTCCTATGATCCCAAGTGATTCCAGGTGATTCTGTTGTTCGGAATCAGCTGTTTCCCCCTGCCACAAATAGTTATTAACTAATTAATGATTTGGATTCTTCAACCCTGACTATCTTTTTTTTGAAACTTTACGAAAGAATGGTTATTACTGTAGAAAGTGTTTCTTGAATGAAAAATATCAAGTTCGAATTTTGTACAAGCCGATTACAGATTTAGAATTGTTGCCTTCGATTGTCTTCATTGAAATGTTAAGATTATACTAATACATGCAACTATGTGACTCGATAGTTGAATGGACACAGGAAAACATAGTCACAAACTCATTGTATCTTATACGACTCTCTCTGCAGTGAAAAGATTAAGTCATATAGGAACGCGTATAAAATGAGACTGAACAAGTTCTTAAGCAGAAATCTATAAGTTCACGCAGATACTCCTTAAGCTCCCCCCCCCCCCTCAGAAATGATTTCTCAATGTAAATGGGTCTTGTGAGCTGAAAATTTCAAGGATGAGTAATCCTGGAGTGATACGCCTCTGGTAAAAATTTTAGCGCAATTGGTCTT